GAGGGGCTCTCAGCCAAGGCCAGAGAGGGCCCCTTGGAGCACCCCTGCCGAGGGAGCAGCCAGTCCTGGCTGGAACCCCCCACACAGGCTGTTAGGGAAGGTGAGCAGCACTGCCAGATACTACAAATGCATTAAACTGTAGATGTTACAAGAGAGCCATGGAACCCCTGACTGGTTTGGCTTGGAAGGGACATTAAATCCCACCCAGTGCCCCCCCTGCCATGGCAGGGACACCTCCCACTGCCCCAGGTGCTCCCAGCCCAGCCCAGCCTGGCCTTGGGCACTGCCAGGGATCCAGGGACAGCCACAAGGAGGATTTGCCCTCCCTGCCTGCTCCTTGACTGGATTGCCCCACACAGGGAGCCTCGCTGGGCACCTGGAGGGAAGAAAGCAGAAATTCCAAAATATTTTAACCAACAAAGGTTAGGGGTAACTCTGTGAACTCTCAGGTTTGCAGTCCCCAGACTTTCACGGGACAGAATTCCAGAAGTGTTTCTGGAATGTAATTGTATCTGTGACCAGTGCTCCCAACTAATCACATTATTTTAAAGTTCCTTTGGTAATTTGTCCTTAATTCCACACAAACTGCTGTTCTGGCATAAAGTGTACTTTGTGATATCAAAGTCAAACAGATTAGGCATGATCCACTTCCAGCCAGGGAGTGTTTTGGAGAAGAGATGATATAACTTAAAAGCTAAAGCTGGCTCCCTGTTTTAATTAAAGGGGATTAAACATCCATCATGATAAGGGAAAAGGGACATTTTATAAAAATCAATTACCTTCCTCAGTGTCAGTCTGGTTTAACACCTGAGGTTTCTGGGAGAAGGGAGAGTGTAACATCCCACCAGCACTCAGGGAAGGTAAATCAAACACTGTTACTGTACAGCAAGATCACAAAATAGCCAAGAAAAAGAACTGTATCACCCAGTCAGGTGGTAATGACAAAACAAGTTGTTACACTCCTAAAGTGTATCAGGCAAATTCACAGGACTCAGGTTCAAAGTTTCCTGCAGCACTTCCCCACAACAGGAAGCCTCCAGGTAGGGACTGCACATCTTTATGGAGATAAAAGGAGGCTGGTGGAGCACCTCAGTGTCTAAAAATATTCTGGAACTGCAAAAGCTGAGCCACATCCACTCCTCAATAAAATGCCATAATAACCATGAAGAATGAGGCCTGGCACTCAGCTTTGTTGCTTCTGTCATTATAAAATCAGTCTCTGCTTGCACCGTTTGACAATATGCTCAATTTTAGATCTCACACAGGAGTGTATGAGGTAATTATACACAATATGTATAATTGATACAGCAAAAATTCCCACCACCAGAGGTTGAATATGGGGCTGCAGAATTAAATACATTTCAGTTATTTCAAAAGTTTGAGACTGTGAAAAGGTGGCAATTAAATTCCTAATGCGAGAGGGACGTTTTACTGTAATTTGAGGAAAAAAAGCAAGTGAAAGGCTGGATCTGGCAGCTCCTGCCTGAGGGCTTCACACGAGGTTACACAACTGCTCCCAGCCCGGGTGCTGCCCACCCCTCCCGGGGCGCTGCCCCAGCTGTCAGACCGAATCTGCAGCTGCAGTGTGAGAAGGGTGAGGAGCAGAGCCTGTGCCTGGGACTGCACATCCCCCAGGAAAATCCCCCTGGAAAGGGCTGGGGTGGGATGAACACCAACAGCCCTGCTACAGCAACGGAGCTCAATAAACAAATGCAATCTACAGCACAGATAAATCACGCCATGAGGCTGCCAGCAGGAAAAGGGCTGTGTGCCATTACCCCTTGCCTCCCTCATCCCTGGGTGACCTCCCACTGCCCTGCTGCTTCTCCTGGGGCTCAGAGCTCTGCAGTGCTTCCATCCCAGGGCCCGCCAGTGCTGCAGCCAGGGCAGAGCCAGCCGGGGGGGCTGGCACCTCTGCAGTGACAGGGACACTCACACAGCCTTGTCACAGCAGGCAGATGCCCTGCAGCCTGCACAGAGAAGCCACTTTCAGCTGATGAAGCCACACATGGACTTTACCTGCAATCCCAACAGGCCCAGAACAACTCTTTGGTAGGGGGGAAAACACAAAATTGCCAACACAGAAATGAGAGACACGAAATGCTCAGTAATGATCCCCCTGGCCCAGGAGAACAATTCCTCTGCCACCCAGAGATGGTTCTTTGTGGTCCAAACTTTCCACCCAGAGCTCTCTGAGGAGGGATTTCAGCTTTCCCACAGCTCTGCCTTGAGCAGGGAGTGCAGGAGCTGGGCCTGGACAGTCTGGGGAAGGGAAGGCTGAGAGAGGATCCCAGCAATCCACACCAACACCTCATCAGTCCATGCCAACAACCCTAAGGTGTCAGGGGATGGTGCCCACCCCAACCTGAGGAAGGATTTCTTTCCATGGAGGGTGGCAGAGCTCTGGGCCAGCTGCCCATGGAGCCTCCCCAAACCCACCTGGACATATTCCTGTGTCACCTGCTCCAGGTGACCCCACCTGGCATGGGTTGGACTGGGGGGTCCCCAGAGGTCCCTTCCAACCCAAACAATTCTGGGATTCTGTGAAACAAACACAGATTTTTCCTAAAACCCACTCAAAGGAGGTGTGTGAGGGAAGCAGCTCCTCTCTCCCCTTCCCTTCAGAAGGCAGCAGGGCTGGTGGCTCCTCACCCCTCCCACAGCCTGGACAGAAGCACCCCCAGATAATTTATGGGAGACATGAAGAAAGAGTTATGGTTTTTAACGAGCAATTTTGAGGCAGATACTACCAATATACAGAGTCCTTGGTTCCACTGAATAAATATCTCTGACAGCCAAACAATAACTCTGCCTCTTATTTTAGAGCTCAACCCCAAACTGGTAGACTTTGTAACTCTCCACACTCCTGCTATTCCCTGAGGTGCTTCCAAGATGATCACTGTCAGAGTCAGAGTCTATAAAAAGGATGAAGGAAGCTGGGAAATTTCCACAGAGGTGGTGCCAGCAAAACAGAACGAACATTTCAGCCATCCCTGAGCAAAGCCAGGCTGCAGCCCTGGAATTCCAGCAGTGCAGACCAAGAGCTCCCCCAGCTGAGCTCTGGGACAGCTGCAGTCACTGCCAGAACAGCTCAGGTACCTGGAAAGTTCCAGATCTGCTCCAAGGGGATTCAGTCACCCTCTGCAGCCAGTGCTTGTTCAGAGAAGAGCTGGAGAACCCTTAAGAGGAGCTGCCGTGGTGCAGAACAAGGAGTGCCTTGGGAAGCGGCAAACTCCTGCCTGCTGCTCCAGGGAAGAGCAGGGAGGCCCTGCCAAACCTGCAGTGGCATCCTGTCACAACCCAGCCCATCCTGTGTCACCCTCTGTCACCAGCCATGGAAACTCCACTGAAAGGGAAAAGCTTCTGCTGCAAACATGGCCTGTCTTCAAAACCCTCACTTTAGAGAAGGAGTGACTCCCACAAACACAGGATGGCTGGAGAAGGGATGGAACAACCCAACCCAAAGCTCAGGCCAGCTGCTGCCACCCCTCCTGGAGCAGCCCAGGCCTGCTGGGACTGTGCTGGGGCTCCTGAGCTCCTGCTGGGGTCTCTGAGCTCCTGCTGGGGTCCCTGAGCTCCTGCTGGACTGTGCTGGGGTCCCTGAGCTCCATGGGCAAAGGGGATGAGGAGCTTCCCATGGGCTGTGGCACCATCTGCTGGAGATGGCACCAGGAAAATGTGTTGGAATTAAGGGATTCTGGAGGAAGAACTGACAGGATCCAAACTGCATCATATTCCGAGCTGGAAAGCCACAGGATCATCTGTCCAAGCCCTGACCCTGCACAGACACCCCAACAATCCCACCCTGTCCCAGAGCAGTGTCCAAACACTCCTGGAGCTCTGGCAGCCCTGGGGCTGGGACCATTCCCTGGGCAGTGCCTCTGGGGGAAGAACCTTTCCCTGGGATCAGTCACACCCCAGGCACAATCCAGAACCACATTTCTGGAGCTCCACCTTGTTTACCAGAGGTATCACAAGAGATTCTGCAAAATCCTCCTGCATCTGCCTTGGACGGCGAGCCCAAGGACCAGGAATGCTGGGAAACAGATTTCATGACGTGTTGGAAGGATTTTAAAAATTCCCATTCATGTTCCAGAGTCAGCCCCTCCCTCCACCCCTTCCCAGGCCTGGAAAAGAGCACTGGAGCCATTCATTTACAGCCCCCTGGCTCCTGGGGGCTTTTATGTGCCACAGGCACCAAGAGCCAGAGCCCCCAGGGAGCCGTAGCCCTGAGAGGTGGGAGGACCTCGTCTGCCACTGCCAGGGCACGGTGACAGCAGAGCCTCCCTGTGACATTTCTGCTCTAATTTGCACGCAAATGTCAATATTTATTAGTCACATCAAGATCTTCAGCAAAGCTCCCCTGGGCTGCCGAGTCTCTGCACTTATACTTTTAAATTGATTTAAAAAGAAGCATATTGGCTCTTGGTAACTTATTCCAGACTCCCTACATTCTTTATTTTATCCCTAACTCTCTACTGTTTTTGTGGGAAGTTATTTCCAAGGAATCTATGCATCAACAGTGTTGAAAAATGCTTTACCATCACGCCAAAAAATGACCATGGAAAAGTAACCTTTTCACTTAACTTGTCCCTGGAGCTGTGAACATATTTATGTATTTAAATAATGGAAATCTGAAAGTAACAGATGTTTCCTGCCTAGAGCACAGAGCAAGAACAACAGTGCTCCACTATTACAGTGCCTCTGGAGCATCCACACATTCCCATCCCCATTTGCTCTCCTGTGCATTAGTTTGCAAAAATCCCCAAGTGCTGAAATCTGGTTTTAATCGTGATGTCAACAAGTCTGCCTAATCCTGCTGCAAGTCAGGAATTGGGCCTCTGAGCAAGCCAGCATGAAAGAAAGTGAAATTGCTTTTAAATGTAAACTAGGAGGGAAGAGGAGAGAAAAAATGGGAACTGAGAGATTAGGTAAACCTGATGGAATTTGGCAGAGCTGGGGAAAGGGTGTTCCAGTGGTGTCCAAGAGCCCTCACTCACCAGGATTTGGGCTCCCCAAAATGCAAGTAGTTGATGCTGTAGAGATCCATGTCCTCTGTGTGCCAAGCAAAAGTTGTCTTCCACATCCCAAAGTAGAGGTAGGGAGTGTTCACACCCTCGATGATGATGCCACACTCGTGCTCCACCATGTCCAGAAGGGTGTTCAGGTTGCCAATGTTCCACTCATCCACGTCCTGGAACAGAAATGGTTTGTACTGGTTTGTACTGGGAGAGCCAGCCCTCAGCCCCCTGCAGAGCCCCAGGGGGCAGGTGCTGGTGTCACCTGCATTAGCTGAACACTCTCTGCTTCCAGGAAGGTTTCTTTGGTGCTCCTCTCTGACCACGGGCAGGAGGGAGCTCCAGCACCCTGAAGAGGCTCCTGCACTGTGTAATTACCCCAGTAATTAACTATCCTGGTAATGAACACTCAGGGTAAAGCACACTCCTCTCAGATGTTCTTCCCCTGATCAGAAACACCCCAGGGTGAAAAAGGGGCAGAACCTTCTGCCTCAGCTCAGAGCTTCAGGTAAAAACAGGAACGCACCTGAGAACAGCTGTGCTGCTCCTGGCTGTGTCCCACCCTGATCCCAGCAGGAAAGGAGGGGATTCTCCCACCCAAGCACCAAATCCCCTGCACCCCTGAGATGTGCATGGCTCTGAGCAGCTCAGATATCTCTGCTTACTCTAATTAATCCATATTAAACCACACTGATAATAAAAAGACACTTGTACATTCACACACAATCAGACAACACTCCAAAGAAGGCCACTTCCCACTCAAAAGAAAACTACAGAGGAAGAGATTTAAATTATCTGCCTAAAAAGAGTAAGAAGAGAGAAACATTTATCATTTACAGAATTACTCGAAGCAGAGGATGAAATTTTACCATGGAAAAGCTTAAACAATTTGAATTGTAAAATAATTCAGTGTGCAGGTGCATTGTATCCTAATGGAGCTGCCTACAAGGAAAAGATCCAAATGCAAATAATTTAAAATCCAAATGTAAATAATTTAAAATCCAAATGCAAATTATTTATGTTAAGAATCAAAAAATATTTTTGATGAAGCACCACTTCCTTGAAATGCTGTTTTTTTTCTTGATTCTAAGGGGCTTCAGCAGGAATCTCCATTTCATTCCCTTAAAAAAGAAACAAAACCCAAGGTATAGACAATTTTTTTGCTACAGTCTGCAAAAGAATTTCTTTAAATCACACTTTTCCTCATTTTTCTACTAAAAGTCAGCTTTTCACAGCTTCCACTGACTATTACTCCAAATTTCAGGGGAAGTTTAGTCCCACTTTTGTAAAGAGGGGACAAACACAAAAGTATTGCGGTTTTTTTAGGGTGGCTACATCAATGAAATCCTGAATTCCTGCTCCTCAATGAGAAAAGTGCAATAAGGAAGTCAGGTCTGTGTCTGAAATAAATAAAGGAGAAGCTCTGCACTTACTGCATCGTAGAGGGAGCCGCTGATGTCAGCCCCATAAATGGGAGACACGAAGGTGAGGTTCTTCCAGTACTTGCGCTCCAGGTCCTCAAAGTCCTGGTGCCGAGGGGTGCAGTACCTGCCAGGGACACAGGGGTGTCAGGAGCCCTGGGAGCAGCCAGCACAGCAGCTCTGAGGCTGCATTTCACCTTTAACTCACTGAAATGCAGCCTTCTCCACCTCGGGGCAGGCTGACTGACAGGACATGCAGCACCACATCCCCACCCCAAGGAAACGTGAGCTGAGGTTATCCCACAGCTCTCAGGTGCCAGGAAAGCTCCAAAGCTGGTTATCCTGGAATGGTTTGGCTTGGAAGGGAATTTAAATCCCACCCAGTGCCACCCCTGCCATGGCAGGGCCACATTCCACTGTCCCAGCCTGGCCTGGGGCACTGCCAGGGATGCAGGGGCAGCCCCAGCTGCTCTGGGCACCTGTGCCAGGGTCTCACACCCTCCCAGGGATGAACTCCTTCCAATATCCTACCTCACTCCACCCTCCTTCAGCTTAAAGCCACGACTGCATAAACTCAGTCCTGATTAAAACTCTGCAGAGCTGCAGACTCTGGAAGCAGGATGAGACTGCAGCTGGCACACCCCAGCTGACTGAAGTGCCCTGCAGAGTCCCTGGGCACTCTGCAAGACACTCGTGCCACCAGCATCAGCCCAAGCACCCCAAGGTGTTTGGATTTCTACCCCAGCCATGGAACACCTTCTCCAGAAGAGCCAAGAGATCCTCTTTTGGTCCCAAGCCATTCTTTTCAGGAAGCTCCTCAGCCAAATACCGACCTTGAACAATCCTTCTATACCAGCTCTCAGAAATAGATCCCAGATATACCAACACCCACCAAGCCACAAACGTGTTTGAGACTCAAGGAAAAGCAGTTTCCCCCAAAATGCCTCACATTTAACGTGGCTGCATTTTCTTGTCAGCTAGTTTCTGGGAAGAAAAGCTTCCCAGGAGCTGCCCTGTTGCCACATTTCTCTTCACAGAGAAAAGCAAGGCCCAATTCTTCCCAAGAATATTTCTGTGTTTCACATTCTCTGAACATCCGAGAAAGAAAATACAACTCTTATCTCGTTTGCTGCGCCTGTGTTGTGCCAAAGCAGAATGCAATATGGAGATTGTTTATCCAAAGTGGGGATGTTTTGTTCCTTTGGCCTGTCAGGGCCAGGAGAGTGTGTGTGTGTGTGTGTGTGTGTGTGTGTGTGTGTGTTGGACTATCATGGACAGTCATGAGAATCAGAGAGGAGAGCAGCTCTGTGCAGTTGTGAGCAAGGCTGAGTGCAGGGCAGATTCGGTTTAGATAGAATGTATAACAGAGCATAATAAAGCAATGAATTGGCCCCCTGCTGTCCCCGGAGCCCTCCCCGCCCTCTGTGCCCCCTGTGCCCAGCCCAGCCCTGCAGCACGCACTTCTCGCTGTTGGCCAGGCGCCGGTACTCGCCCACGCTCATGGGCTTCTTCTGGATGTTGTACTGGGTGAAGAGCCCCGACTGGCCCGTGACCACCTGCTGGATGGGCGCCGGGATCACCATGTCATCGATGTCGTCGTACGTGCGCCGCGGCTTCCACTCCTTGGGGGGGATCACCTGTGCCCCAAGAAAATGAACGGCTTTTGTGAGCTAATGCACAAAGACCTCCTGCACCTGCATCGGTTTTTCTGTCTGTTATTCTGCCTTTTGTTAAAGCTTTTTGTTTCCAGCACTGCAGCAGAAGCCGTCCTGCTGATTTTTATGCCTCCAAGGGTAGCTGAGCTATCTTGGGTGTGTTATAGACCCCCCAAGAGCTTATGAGACCTGGCCCAAGGAAACTCATATAACAATCACCTGCAACAGGGACAACAAAAACATGGAACTGTTACAGACACTGGAGCTGGGGGTTTGGTGGGCACGAGGGGCTCCACTTCCCCTACAGGGCTCTGAAGTGCAGCTGCAAGAGACACAAAACTGACCTGGAACGCTCAGATTAATCCTACAAGTAATTTCTTTACAATATCTGGAAGTCACCAACAAGCTCTATTAAAATAATCTCCCTAGCAGAGTCCTGGAAGGTAATTGCTTGTACACTTGAGTGGACAAGGAAACATTCCACGGAGAGCTCTTCATCAATAGCCAGCTCTCTTTAGAGCAGCAATAAACCCAGTAATTGACCTGTGTTTTAGAAGAAATAAGAATTATTTCATGCCTAACAGCTTTATTTCTCCACTGTGCTTTATTAAGGCCAGCTAAACACCACTCCTAACAAGTCCTTGTCAGAGCAAATGATCCCATCAGCCTGTGCTGACATGGCCACAGAAATACCTCTTCTAATCACTTAGTCCTGGAGTTTCCCAAGCAGTTCCGTGTCAGGCACTGGAACTTAGAAGCTTCACATGGAAAGTTCTCATCACCAGAGGGTGCTGGGCACTGCCAGGCTCCCCAGAGAATGGTCCCAGCCCTGAGGCTGCCCTCAGGGGTGCCCAGGGTGGGATTGTTGGGGTCAGGGGCTGCACTGGATGATCCTGTGGGTCCCTCCCAACTCAGGACATTCCTCTCCTTTCCTCCCTCCGTAACCAAACCAGAGATTCCAGGCACAGTGCTCCAAAAGGCACACTGTGCTCAGCTCCAGGGACACAAACAAGATCTTGGGCCCTTGGAAGGCAGCTCCAGCCCCTGAGCAGCCTTTACCTCAAGCCAGCCCCTCACCTTGTCCAGCCCCTCACCTTGTCCAGCCCCTCACCTCTCTCACCTTGCCCAGCCCTTCACCTTGCCCAGCCCTCACCCTGGCCAGCCCAGCCCTCACCCTGGCCAGCCCTCACCTTGCCCAGCCCTCACCTTGCCCAGCCCCTCACCTCGCCCATCCCAGCCCTCACCCTGGCCAGCCCAGCCCTCACCCTGGCCAGCCCTCACCTTGCCCAGCCCTCACCTTGCCCAGCCCCTCACCTCGCCCATCCCAGCCCTCACCCTGGCCAGCCCAGCCCTCACCTTGGCCATCCCAGCCCCTCACCCTGCCCAGCCCTCACCCTGGCCAGCCCAGCCCTCACCTTGGCCAGCCCAGCCCGGTGGGCCCCCTGGGACTCCATGAAGGCGATGAACCTGCCGAAGTCGCGGAACTCGTCCAGCGAGGGCCGGAAGGTCATGATCTTGCAGCCAGGGTTCTGCGGGCTCGGGTGTTCCGACCCCATAGCTCCAGTCCTGCAGGGGCACACGGGAAGGGAAGGGGCACGAAAGACTCTGCTTAAAACCTCTGGTGTTTAACTCCCAGCTCCAGGCAGCTCCACAGAAAGCCTGGGGAGATTTTTCATTTCCTCCTTCTATTCCTGCAAGGGGGTTTGTGAAAGTACCTCTAACACGGACAGGAGGGGCTCCCCACCAAAAACCCACTCAGTCAGGAACTCCTGACCCCAGGATCACCCGAGAGCTCGGAAGGGGCTAAATATAGAGCAGGGCTGAACATCTGCCCCAGCTCACCACAGAAAGTGGTGCCTCCTCAGGATCCTGCCACAAAAATAACAGCTTCTCAGCACCTTCAGCTGTCAGTGCAGAGCTTGCCACCCCACGAGCTTTCCACCAAAATGCTTCACCATTTTCTGTTTAGGTTCAAACCCAACAGCTATCTCCAGTTTGGGGTTTTTTCATGTGCTAGCTTGCACCAAAAATTATAAAATTAAGTTTTTTTTTTTTTTTTTTTTTTAATGTAGCTTCATTATACTTTGTATTTGCAATGTATTGTACAATTGCACAACTCCAAAACATCCCAAACAAACTCTCAAACCATTCAGGATGAAACCACAGTTTTAAAATAGACTTTTTTTAAGGTAATGCTGGAAATCTGTAAGGGAAATAAAAGGTTTCAGTGGCGTTTCAGCTGCACGTATCCCCACGAAGGAGTTCTCCATGCCAGGAGCTGCAGCAGCTCCACACCCCGAGTGCTCACGAGATGGCAGTGCTGGGCTGTGGAGGATGAACTGCAGGAAAACGGCTCCTGCCAGACTTTTACATGCAAAAAAAGCATTTAAAGTGTGTTTAAACCGATTTCAAAGCAGCCAAGAAGTATTGCAGACGCTCCTGGAAGTACCCGTGGTGTTAGGAAAACACAAAACGAAGCAGGGAGTGCTCCCAGGTCTGTGTTTGAACGGGTGAGTGTGGCACAGCCAGTGCTCCCAGCTCCTGGAATTAAAGCCAGCTAAAGTGGGCACATTCCACACCCAGGGCACCAAGGTTTCATTTTGACTGGATAAAACTTTTCATTTCAAAGGCACATGAACAGTTCTGAGTGAAATTTTAGAAGCTAGAAAACATCAGAAGTTTACACAGTAACTTTTATGCACATTTGTTTCAAAACAAGGATCTGCAAGTCTTATGTCCTTCCCCAAGGAGCCTTTAAAGGAGTTTTATGCATAAAATCACAGCTTCTCACAGGCAGAAAAGCCCTTCCCAAGCCAGGAGCCAGAGATGCAGAACCCAATCCAGAAGAAAATCAAATGATGAATCCCAGTATTGCAGGAAATCCCAGAGCAAAACCAATTGAGGGAGAAAAATACCATTTCACCCCAAGACACTCCCCATCTCCAACAGGAATCGCTGAAGTTTGGAAACAAAAGGGCCATTTAACCAAGCCCTCCATCTTCAGGGTGGCCCTGCCCAAGGAGATTCCCAAACAAGGAACAAAAATTGCCTTCTGAGAACAAAAACTGCAGTTTTGGGGTCAGCACTGGAGGAGAAGCAGCAGATTGGTCCGTGCCCATGGGAAGGCTTTCCTACACAAATGTTCTGCAGGAACACAGGGAGGAAATCCCTGGGATGAGCCAGGGGAGCCGGGCACCCATCTGCCAGAGCTTTGCTCCAACCCCCATGAACACAGGGCTGGGCTGTGGCAGTGGGACAGGGACAGAGAGCACCCCAAAGGCTGGCACAGCCCCCCGGGAATGGTGGGGCTGCTCTGGAGCAGCTCTGGCAGTGCCACGGCCGGGGGAGCCCGCCAGGATCCCGGCAGGAGCTGGCTCACAGTGAATTCCGTCCTGAGCAGGAGCCCTGCCAGCACCATCTGCTCCTGAGAGGCTCCTGCAGCTCTACCCACAACCGGGGCCAAAACAAACAGGCAAAGCCAGGCTCCAGCCCATCCTTCCCTCAAGATTCTCTCACAAAATTCCACTTTTCCAAAATTCCAATTTTCAGTCGATAAATTCAGAGCAAAGAGTGAAAATACATGCTCCGGTAAGGAAGGGAGATCAAAAACGACTTCATGCAAAGCTTAATCAATTAATTAAAGGATAAAACTACTTCCTGCAAAGCTTAATTAATTAATTAAAAGGTTTACTGCCTCAGTACAAGCAGCATCACGTGGCACTCTGGAATTCTTTAGTCCAGAGACAGCAAAACACGAGATTTTTCCATGTGCAGTCCCATCTAAAGAGCATTTCAGCACCCACCCTAGATAATGTACATTTAGCTAATCAAACTAATTCAGCCATTACAATAAAATGGCCACAGAGCTCATGGGAAGGGGGAACCAGGTCCATGACCTCAGGGAGATGTGGGAGCTTCCCCCAAGGAGCTGGGAACACCCAGGCCCAGGGAAAGCTGGGGGAGAAGAGAATTTCCTTCCCAAGCTCTTCCCACGTGGCAGCACTGAAGTTTTGGAAGTGCCAGGAGCCGTGGCCAGCTCTGTCCCAGCTCCTGGGATCACACAGGACACACAGCCAAGGCAGCAGGACAGGGCTGCAGCTCCATCTGGGGTTTTCAGGTTCCAGAGCAGACTCTGAGTGTTGTGAGAACGCTGAGAGCCCCTCCCAGCCCCTTCTGCAGGGCTGCAGGCGAGGGCCAGATGGGAACAAACCCTTCTCTCCATACTGAGAAGGATTCTGCACTCAGAGCCCCCATCAGCTCCTGAAAAGAACAGTGAAGGTATTTTTCTCAGCTGGATACATTCTGTTTCTTTGTGGGAGAGTAACAACCTGAAATATTATGAAAACCTTCTAATTTTCAGCCATTGTGAGGAAGCACAAAAACTTGTCTCCAGAGGGACGATCTCGGTGCACACAAAGAACTGAGTTTTCATTTCAATGACTTTTACATGAGACTTTTCCCTTCCAAAACTGACGTGAACCAAGACACTTTTGTGACTGAAAGCCTGCACCTGTTGACTGAAACCTTTGTAGAGAGGAGAAAAAGCCCAGGACACCCAGCTGAGATCAGTGATCGAGCTTGCTGCAGCACTGACAGGACTGGGAATCCTTCCTCCAGAGAAGGTTTGGGATTTCTGAGCAGCTCCTGCTGCTGCCCCACTGCTGATCTCTGCAGGGCCAGTAATGCCAGCTCACTGGCCTGGGTGAAGAACAGTGCCTGCTGTGGGACAAACGTGGCTTCAGGCAGCAGCCCTGGGGCCCACCCCGTGCCCAGTGCCAGGCCAGGGACACCACTGGGAGTGCCAGCACCCACCTGGCAGCACTGAGGGCACAGCAGCACCACGAAACCCTTCTGATCTTGCTAAACAAAGTCAATGCTCAGTTTGACCACAACGGGAGCTCCTCAGAGACCTCTGGAGAAGGCTGCAGGTGTCAGGGTAGACCTGTGCCCAGGTGATGGGGACCCTGCTGCCCTGGGACAGCTCCAGCTGCAACAAACCCACCCCTGACCCCACAGCACCCCGAGGATTTCCCTGGGGCTGTGCTGGAAAGGGCTAAAAAGACACATGGAAGTGCTAAAGACACACGGAAAGGGCTAAAAAGACACATGGAAAAGGCTAAAGACACATGGAAAGGGCTAAAAAGACACATGGAAAGGGCTGGAAAAACACATGGAAATGCTAAAGACACATGGAAATGCTGCAGACACATGGAGAGGGCTGGAAAGGCCCGTGGAAACGCTGCCAGCCCCAGCAGAGCACACAGGTGGGCTCACAGGAGGTGGGCACAGACTGGCAGCACGCCCTGCTCAGGGAGCAGAACCCCACACCTGAATTCCAGGGGATGAACCAAGCTGGGAGCAGGGGGAAATCTCCCAGCCTGGAGGGGCACAGCCCTGCCCCTGGCTGTCTGTCCCTCTGCTGTGCCAGGGGATGAGCTGGCATGGCTCTGGCTCCAGGGCTGGGCACTGCCAGGGCAATGGGCACAGCCCCCCAGTGCCAGGCACCTGCCACAAAATGCCACCAACAAAATGCAGATTTCAGGCGTGCCTGGATGAGCTTCTCCTGCCTCACTCAGTGTCTGAGGCATTTCCCCAGCAATAATGAGAGCCCTGCTCGTGAAGAACTCCTTTAACCTTGCTCTTAACTCACTATTTAACTACTGAGTCCTGCACACAAATATTAATGGAAACCTCATGTGTTTATCTGACATGGCATTTTTAGATGAATGAGGCTGCAACACAAAGGACAGATTCTTCTATTTCCATCCACTTCCTTTCCCTCAAAGCCAACAAATTACTCTGATTTCCATCAATTCTCACGGATCAGGCTCTAGCCAAAGTCTCTTTGCAGAACCACAGACAAACTTCTGCAAGACATCAGCTCTGTGTACAAAGCAGACTACTAAAAGCTATATGTATTTACATATATATTAAAACTACAATGGTTATGTGGTGTAAGGATATCTGAGACAACTTTCCTCCCTTCCCCTCTATTCCCAGGAATCAGATTCCAGCACTTAGACAAACAAAATGTAATTTTTTAAGTTTGAAGTTTGCAGTTGCTCAGCCCAGTTTTAAACAACTGTACAATTACAGCAAGGATTTAAACTAACACCTTTCCCCCCCAAATATTTATATATTCAATTAATGCCATTTTTAACATTCAAATTGCTTTGAGTTTTGTATATCCTCCATAAAGACCAAGAAAACACAACAGAGGAAATATTTGGGAAAGAGGAACAGAGACAAATTCCCATCCAGCACAGGGATGAAGATTTACAGTGCTTGGGATTTGACAAATTGGGAGTTATTTTCTATTAAATTTTGCACTCCACAAGACTCCTCCACAATTCCAGATCCTCCTGTACTTGAAATCAATCAGCATATGCAGCTCATTAAGGGAAAATAAAATTTTCCCCCAAAACACCCTCTTTGCTGTAGAAGTGCACAGTTACTCACACATTTCTCTAACAAAATTATTTAGTCACAAACAGTATTTAAAAGGAAAACAAAAAAGGTGGTTACATTTAAGAGCAATAAATCTGGATGACTTTAAAACAGTTTATTATTGCCTGAGGCAAGGTAGTTAACATGTAATGGTTATTTCTGACTAAATCCAGATCAGGACCTCAAAAACTCAGAAGTTTGACTGCAGAGACAAGATAAACTCACCCTAAACCCACAGAAATCAGTTCAGGAAGCACTGCTGAGCCCAGCCTTCCCAAGGGCTGCAGGAGCCCCAGTTTGCTGCATGGCACGAGCTCTCTCTGCTGCATTTGTTATCCTCACTGCATGCACTGCAAGGCAGCTTTCCAAAACAACTTCAATATTATAAACGGCACTTCATATGGACTGGGCTGCTGAATCTAACAGGAATTCCAATTTTAACCCATGGCACCTCAATCCAGGGCAGCAGCACTGCAGAAGTTAAAATAAAGCATCCCACAGTGATTATTCCTGCAGGAAAGGACATCAGAGACCTTGCAGAGCAAGCAGGAGCCTCGACTGCTGCAGTGCTTGGGCCAAAAGGTGATTCCTGCATCAGATAACCCCTTAACAAGGATCAGCTCCCAGTTTTCCTTCCACAACCCTGCCAGAACAGAAAGCCTGGAGTTCCCAGCAGCTTCCTCCACTTCTCTAAGCTCCTTTAGATTTTGATAACAAAACCCCTCAACAAGCGGGGCAGTGGAGGAGTTTTTAACCATCCTGCCCGTTTTCAGATGTACAAAAGGAAGCCCTGGGCTGGTTTTGTGCCCGAGGCAATGCCCGGGCTGGGTGTGACACACTGACCCAGTTCCAGCTGCCAGCACATGCCAGCAATCCTGGAGCTCGGGCAGAGGAGCAGCGAGGCTGGCACTGCCTGCAGACCTGCAGCTCACCTGGCCAGGTACCCCCAGGTACCCCCAGGAACCCCCAGGAACCCCCAGGAACCTCAGCCCGGCACTGCCTGCAGACCTGCAGCTCACCTGGCCAGGTACCCCCAGGTAACCCCAGGTACCTCAGCCTGGCACAGCCCTGCAGAACTGCAGCTCACCTGGCCAGGTACCCCCAGGTACCCCCAGGAACCCCCAGGAACCCCCAGGAACCTCAGCCCAGCACTGCCTGCAGAACTGCAGCTCACCTGGCCAGGTACCCCCAGGAACCCCCAGGTACCCCCAGGAACCTCAGCCCAGCACAGCCCTGCAGAACTGCAGCTCACCTGGCCAGGTACCCCCAGGAACCCCCAGGAACCCCCAGGAACCTCAGCCCAGCACTGCCTGCAGAACTGCAGCTCACCTGGCCAGGTACCCCCAGGTAACCCCAGGTACCTCAGCCTGGCACAGCCCTGCAGAACTGCAGCTCACCTGGCCAGGTACCCCCAGGAACCCCCAGGTACCCCCAGGAACCTCAGCCCAGCACAGCCCTGCAGAACTGCAGCTCACCTGGCCAGGTACCCCCAGGTACC